AAAAAAAAAAAATCCATGCAGTCATGTGGTTCAAAGGCTGAGGTATAAAGAGGAAGGAAGGAAGGAACCATTAAACACTAAGAGGAAAAGGTTTCCTTTTAAAAACAATCATGAAATAAGATTTTTAAGTCTTGATGTTAAGTTGCTGTAATGGAAAAGATTGATAAATTTGAAGCAAAATATAATTTTCTTTACAAAAACATTAATTTAACTTGAAACAATATTTCTAGCTTAGACATGTATACACTCATATCTCGCATAAAGAGTACTTTATATATTAAGAAGAATACCAATACAGAGAAGATGTGGAAAGAGGCAAATGCTAAAAGAGAAAACAAATGCTTAATCTCACTAATAAAATATAGTAATACGAACTAAACAATACAATATAGTTTCTTACCTTTCCAACTAATCGAGGCTTAACCAGTCCTTGGTAACACTAATGGAGTTAACGACGTGGGGAAACAAAGACACTGTCAGAAGTGATATCATTTGACTATATTCTTCAAAAAATACTTTAAGCTTACACTGTAGTAATATTAAATTCACTTTTGGGAACTTACCCCATGGATATGCTTGCATAAGCATGCCAAAATATATTAAATGATGACATCTGTATATAACAGAACGCCATGCCTGCTTCTATTGACATGGACATACATCCATGAGCTGTTGTTAAAGGAGAGAATAGTATGTATTGCCTGGTTTCATTTGTGTTAAAAATTTTAAAAGTAGATGCATTATATGACATCTTCATAGAAAATGTGTGGAAGGATTCTTTATGAATTTGTTAAGAGCAAATACACCCCGGAAACGGTTGAGAAGAGACAGTTGTGGGTAACTGGTTGAGACTCTTGACTTCTTTCCCCATAATATACTACACACAGTTTATTTTCTTTAAACAAATAACGAACTTGTTCCTTTTTGAAAGTTTTATTTACCTTTTATCAAAAAACAATTAGTTTGGGGATACTGCAGTAGATTATAGATTAAAATATTTCCTTCTCAGGCCTATTATTTTTATTCTCTGGTATTCAAAGCTAGAGACTGATTCATCTGAAAAGCTTCATATGAAATAGTGAGTATTAAATGTAGATTTCATTAAAAATATTTTCTCTTTAAAAAAATGTCTCTTGGGCTGGGATGTAGCTCAGTGGCAGAATGTCCACCTCACATTTGCAAAGCCCTGGGTTCCACCCCTAGTTCCAAAAAACAATAACAACAAAAGAACCCTAACCCCCCCCCAAAAAAAAAGATTAAAAAAAGAAAGCTTTAAGTCTCATCTTTTAAAAAGACCACATTCTCTTTAGCAAAGAGGGTAGCCACATGCACAGAAAGTTCATTTTAATATTTCTTAAAATGTCTTATTGTTATTAATATTATTTTGTCAATTTTCTGCCATGTTTACTTAAATTTCTGATAACTCCCAAAGACAAATCTTTATAGAATTTTCAGCTTATCCTCAAAAAGGGACAAGAATTTTAAGATCAATAAATCCCTAGTCCCTGCTTTTAGCTCCAGTACACTGAATTTTACTTTGTATCAACCTAAGTCTTGTCCAAGTTCCTCATCAAATGCTTGGAAGTAGGTATTTTAGGGGACAAATTTATTTTGTGGTTGATGAGTACACTTTTAACTTTAAAGGTCACAGTTAGATAAATGTCACAGAAAGCTCATACCACTGAGCTCAAACAAACAATTCATAAATGAATTTCATCAAAATCCTATTTAAAGCTGTCAGATCCTTGCTTTCCTGTTGTTACCAAAGGCTTAGTTACACTTACAACAAAAGCCTCTTGAGCTTCCAGTCTGATTTACCTGAAGCCTCCACCTAGTCTTCACTTTACCATTTTCTCTGGAACTTATAAAACGAAGCAAGGGGCAATGTTTTGCTGCTTCAGAAGAAATCTAAAGTGATTTTAAAGTGTGATGACATCTTACTAACTAATATGACTGACCCTATGTAAAAATGGAATGCAGGAAAAAATACACTAGGTTATTTAAGGGAATAGAAATAAAATAGGAAAATAAACTATGTGTAAAGTGATATTATGCATTTTACATGCGGAGAGCTAAAAGAGACATAAAAATCATTGGCTTTGACATAATACTCATTTTATTGATCAGAAGGCTGTGATCAGTAGAGAGGTAAATGGGCCATGTTAAGGTCACAGAGTTAGTTAATGGCTGTACTAGCCCTAGGATTGTGGTCTTCTGTCTCTCAGCATGCTAATTCTACCATACCATGCTGTGGCTTCTGGTATATGCATGCATCTGCATATAACTTTATTTTTGTAAATATATCCGCCTTATGGTCCTGAGGTTTTACTCCTAGATATGTACCTGATATACTCACATGAGTGCTTATGTCCACTAAAAGATATGTACTAAATTATTCATGGCTGTATTTATTCTTAATATCCAGTCTATTGGAAGGAAGGAAAGGGAGGAGAAAATAAGGAAGAAAACCCAAACTTCAATCAGCAGTTAAATGGATAAATTATAGTTTATTTACACGCTGGACTGTTAACGCAGCAATTGAAAACAACTGATTCATGGAGCAATATGGACAAATCTTAAAAAGCATATTGTTGAGCAAATGTAGCCAGACCTAAGAAATTATGGAAAGCATTTGTGTTATTTTTTTTTGATGTGTGTTTATAAAGCTCCTTAAGGGCAGAGACTATTTCTCTATAGATCTCTAGCACCTAGCCTGTTATCCAGCATATAATAGGTGCTCAATGTGTTCTTCTTTTAATGGAGAGGATATGGTATAGAAAAAGACACAAAGGAAGCACCCAGTATTTTTATGAGAAAAAATGGTAATAAATACAGGGAACAGTAATTTAATTCTCAGATATTTATATCAGAGGACAGTCTATGGAAACCAGAAATATTAACACAATATTAATTGTAAGTAGTGGTTGGCTGAGTTTGCTATTATGGTAATATTTCAAAGCAAGATCAGCTAACAGAGTTGATGGGTTGACTCCCAGATTAATCTAAACACCACATCAAGTAGATGCAGCAGTCTCCTCTGCATGTTTTTGGCCCCTAAGGAAGAGGAAGTGTTCTTACACTCCCTCAGGTTTCTCACTCAACAGAGCAGGAGTGTCCAGTTGATTAGCCAGATTCTGGAGTAGAGATCAGGCTTCTTGCTTTGGAGGGTGTGTGCCTTGCGAGGAGATGGCATCATAAGGTAAGAAGGCTTCTCTGTCTCTTCCTTCAGCACTGCTGGGTGCTGTGGCTTTCCCTTTCATAGAGGTGGTGAATTTGGGATGGGGAAAGGAAGTAACTCTGCAGCCTGCTTTGCTTCCTGTTTGCTTCAGACCCTGCCCGCTAGGGCTCACTAAAGTTCCTGAGAACTCTGCTCTGAGGTCGGGGCCTCCCCCTCCATAATAACAAACATTACCTTGCCTCCTTGGGGCATTTGGTTTCCTTGGAGGCCACCTAGAAGGTGGGAAACCTAGACTAAAGCAGGATTTATAAATTCTGGATTTCCTGGCCAAACGTCACTATACTGATTTAGTCGGGCACCCTTTTATAGCAATTTGGTTCTTCATCCCTAAACACACACCACAAGAATCTTCACCATCCTTCCTCCTGCCATGGGTACGTCAGGCATTGGTAAAGTCTTATTCAACACTGCTGCCTGTTATTCTTGAAAGTTTATCCCATTGAAAGACTCCTTGAAGAAGAAGAAGAAGAGATATTCCTGTTTGAAAAAGATTTATCCTTCCAATTATGGTTCAGACAGGCCACCTGAATTCCAGTCCCCAGGGAGCCATAGGAACAAATTGTCAGTCAATTTGCAATCTTCTGTAGAAGCACCTGGGCTGTTGAGCTGCAATTAACAGCTTCCCGAGGAGCCTGTGTGTGCTTAAGCAAGTCTATTTTGTTAAATATTGACTGGCAGGATTTCCCTTCTAGTAGGGCATCTCATCTGCGGGGTGAGAAGACATGGTCTGAAGAATTGAGGTGGGTAGGAAGAAAACATTGGACGATACTCTTTCATATAAAGGCATTGTGAAGTGCCGAGTGTGTCAATCTGAGATGGGAAAATCACCTTTGTCCTTAATGTGACCTACGTTACCTTTTAACAGTTTATTATTTTTCACCTCAAATTTTTTTTTACAAGAGGTTAAGCAGTGTGCCCAGTGTTTTTTCATTATTGTAATATCTAGGTAAGTCATATGCAGCTTGTTATCATTAAAGGTTTCTGGAAATGTTTTATTTTTGCCTCAGGGAAAACAAAAAGCTAATGTTTTTTCCTTTCTTGCTGATCTTATCAGCCCAGTACATAACATATGTTTTGACCCTTTCATACTTTGTTTTTTATACTAGGACTTTTCTAATAGACCAAGTTAGCTTTGCTGAGAGGACTCAGATTTCATGTCTTACCCTATTATGATTTAAAATTTGAGCACATGTGAAAATAACTGACAAAATGACATGACAAAAATATATCCAGAATTTCTACCACCTTTTTTGTGGGGTTCCTCAGAGGTAGGAGGTTTTGTTTGTGAGCATGTGCATTAATACTGAGCGGTTTTATTCTTTGTTGTCTTGCTCATTTTTGCCAAAGCCAACAGTTGTTCCCTCAATGTTCAAATTGAGCAAATGCCCAGTCATTACCGTGTAACAGGGTGATTCTGTCAAATACCTGAATACCCTTTTGGTTGTTCTCTAAATTTCGTCAGCGAGCTGAAATACATCTTCATGTGTTTCTGGCAGATGTTAAAATTAGACCTTCTGAAAATTCTTAAAGAAAAAAAATTGTTTTTACCTTTTCAAGTCTTGCACTGGAATTATTCTTGATTTGATATCTACCTGTGGCAGCAATACAATGAAATCCCAGTATCAGCAGGAACGACATCTCACGTGGTCAGAACGTAACTTGTAGGTGCTAACTAGAAAGTGGTGACACTCTTTGACAAAACCCACGTTGACAGTGAACCTCAATGAGACTTCTTACGCTGGCTTGTTGGTTGCTTTTGCAGTTTAACTCGGCTGCTAAGCAGCTGATAGAATGGGACAAGCCTCCCATGCCAGGAGTTGATGCTGGAGAATGTACCTCAGCAGCAGCCCAGAGCAGCACTGCCCCAAAGCACTCCGACACCAAGAAGAACACCAAAAAGCGGCACTCCTTCACTTCCCTCACCATGGCGAACAAGTCCTCCCAGGCCGCCCAGAACCGCCACTCCATGGAGATCAGCCCCCCTGTGCTCATCAGCTCCAGCAACCCCACAGCTGCCGCGAGGATCAGCGAGTTGTCTGGGCTCTCCTGCAGTGCCCCCTCTCAGGTAAAGCCTCAGAGAGGTATAAAAAAAGAGCTGGGCCACAAAAGGATCTGTTTGCAAGCGTGTTGGTTCACTAGCTGGGAAGTACAATTGATTTCAGCTTCTCAAATAATAGTGTACCTGGGACATGAAGCCTTTATTTTATTATTTTGGGTACCAAGGATTGAGCGTGGGGGCACTCGACCATGGGGTCACCCCCCCAGCCCTGTTTTGTATTTCATTTAGAGATGGGGTCTCATCCAGTTGCTTAGTGCCTTACTGTTGTGATCACTGTTGTGATCCTCCTGTCTCAGCCTCCCCAGCTGCAGCTTACTGGCCCGAAAAAATAGAGAATGGAAAGTTAACTCGGAGTATGTCAACCCAGAACTACTAAGTCTTCTTCAGAGGAAAGATGAGAACTTACAAGATGGGCCAAATAATATCAGTTTCACCAAACAGTCGCTCAGTTTTACAAAACCTTCTCATAGTGCTACTTTGGAAGATACTGTCAGCTTAAATTTGATCTCTCCTCAAATTTAAGGTGCTCTTGTTGAAACATAACATTTGCCGCTCCTTACATCTGTATAACTCACCTTGATATTTAGACTTCCCGGTCAGAGATGTAGAGAAAGGATGGAAAGAAACGTTTAATTTAAATTAGAAATAGGCCTGTGGGTTATTTATTTATTTTATCCTCTACTGGGAATGGAACCCAGGGCCTCACACATGCTACACATGCACTGTACCACTGAACTATAAGCCTTTTAAAATTGTATTCTGAGACAAGGTCTCTCCAAGTTGCTCAGGCTGACCTTGAATTTGCAGTTCTCCTGCCTCAGCCTCCTGAGTAGCTGGGATTATAGTGATGCACCCTGAGCAAAGGTGCTTTGCATTTTTTAAAAAGCTCATGATTCATCAATACTTGACTGTCTTAAAAATTAGTCATATAGCTAGGTGTGGTGGTACATGCCTATAATCCCAACTACTTGAGAGTCTGAGGCAGGAAGATTGTAAATTTGAGGAGGCAAGTCTCAACTAAGTTAGTGAAACCGTGTCTCAAAATAAAAAAGGACTGGGGATGTAGCTCAGTGGTAGAGTGCTTCTGGCTTCAGTCTCCACTATTGTGGGGAGGGAAGGAAGAAGCTGCACATAATTATTATGTTAATAAAAACACAGTTGACTGCAAACTTTCATTCATTCATTTGGTAAATGCTTATTGGGAACCTTATTATTGTACTCATCTAGGCAATGTGAACGTCAAAATACATAAGATATAGGACTTCCCTACCTTAGGCCTTAATTCTGGAGTATAAAATGAGCCTGACTGTGCACCTGCCTACATTCCAGTACTACTAGCTTTATCCAATTAGGTAATGGCTATATTTCCTTCAACTTAAAGGTCAAAAAGCTTAGTCCCAGGTAAAGCCTGCCACATGCAGGAGAAATTTCTTTCTAGTCTTGGATCAGTTTTTAAGATTCATGCAGATTTGACATTTACTTCACATTACAGCTTTGGGTTTTTAAAAATACATATAAATACAAGAGTACTTCCCCTTAAAGAAAAGAAATATATAATAGTCCTGGTCCTTAAGAAGTTTACAGTTTAATAAGTTCCTGTATTGGATCACAGAATAAAAACTTACCGCATGAGTTTTGTGTTCCTTGCCGGTTTTATTGAAAATCCTTTTCCCTTATCATTTATTTAACACTGCTTCTGTAGATTCATACTGTGTGTTGGGAGTTATATGCATCCATTTCTTGAGTGAGATGGTGCTGTTTTGACTTTTTAAAAAATGATTAGGTTGCACGACTTTTGATCTTCTTAGGGAAAGTAGGGCGCATACACACACACAAACATGAGTGCAGTGAAGGCAGAGGTCTTTTTTGTTTTTTGATTACATCCCATAGGGCAGACATTCCATGAGCACACAATATTCAAATGAATGAATCAGTTGAAAAATGAATAGAGGATGGAACCGTGTGATTTTAGTCATGTAACTAATCATCCCTATGTGAAAAACAAACATGGACTGAGGATCAGAGTGTGGAGTACTAAGTGAGGTGGACCTGGAAAGATTCAAAATGGAAGGTTTTTTTAAATAAGGTTCTGCAGGAAAAGGCAGTCAAGACAGGCATTCACTAATAGGAAGTTGACCCTGCATTTCCATCTTGGGATCCAGCAACATTTGCACAATGAGGTTTTCTTGACATGAAAGACAAGCTTCTGCTAAGAATGGTGACAGCAGTGAATGAGAAGAGCCTCGAGAGAATGGGCAGTCATTTGGGGGAGTAGAAGAAAAATCAAAAGAGAAAGATAAATAGAGACTTTACCCCTTCTGCAGAGAGCTCAGCAGCCAGGTGTGAGCACATCTGCTCTTGCCACACCCAAGCTGGGAGTGAAGACTGTAAAAGTAGAGCTATTTTGTTGTTTGGGTTTGAATAGCTTAGGAAACAAGGCTCTTTCTGTGTTCCATTAAAACACTTTCCCCTTAGCCACCCCACACTCCTCCCTGCTGCAGTTCTGTTCTCAGTGGTAGCGTGTTGCCTCAGGGAGGAGTTATTTCTAGAAGAGGATGGGAAGTGTTTGAAGTGCTTCCCAGTTTCTCCCGCCCAGGTTTACAGAAAACCCCACTTATCTTGGGCACTGTGTACATTGGAGGGAACCACAGTCCACAATAAAGCATTGAGTATGTGTAGCATATGTAACATGCTCCCTCCTAAGTGTGGAGATTATGGGAAATGGTCCATGGGAGGCTCTGAAACAGGGCTCAACTTTTCCTCTGCCCAGCAAAGGGCCACTGTGCAGGTTTCAGTAAGGCCCATTGCTGAGTCTGCCTTTGGCTATCCGCCTGGTTTCTGTCTTCCTTTCCTTACTCAGGCCCACCTTTACCTTCAGTTTTCTTTTACTCTTATATATTATTTATTTAGGAGTGAACCCAGAGGTGCTTTACTGCTGAAGTACATCCTCAGCCCTTTTTATTTTTTTTTTTAATTTTGAGACAGGATCTCAACTAAGTTGCTCAGGGCCTTAGCTAAGTTGCTGAGGCTGGCCTGGAACATGCCATCACTGTATCTGGCTGGGATTACATTTTTATTATAAACCAAGCTTTCCCCCTGCCTTCTCCTCTCATCCCAGTATGGGAGATCGAACCCAGGGTCTCATGCATCCCAGGCACGTGTTCTACTACTGAGCTCCATCGCCAGCATTTTTGAACCTAGCATTTTTGATGTATCATTGTTTCTTTGGAGAAACAAGGTTCCAGTGAACTACATTGCTTCTATACATGGTAGAGGAAAAAACAGTCTATTTCTTCAGGAACCCACCCAACTCCCTAATTTTTACAGCATCACACAGCACCATTGCATTCTGAGTTGGCCCTGCTCTGCAACATGAGTGAAATTGATCAAGTAATTGAACACAGGCAATGAAATGACCCGAATAACTCAATTTCTTTCTAGTAAATTAATCTTGGGGCAGTATCCTAGACAAGACACCTTTGAAAACAACTAATTTGGCTTGACATTGTTCCTTTAAAGGTTTTATAAATAATTGCCTGCTGTAGGCCTGTCTAGGCAGCTGCATTTTAATTAAGCATCCCAACTGACTAGAAGTCATGAAAAATGATCTTGAAGATAACAAAATATTTAAGAATTTTTACCTAGATTCCCAACAATGGAGAGACAGGTGAGTGATCAGCCACAACTCACCTTAGCTGGTTCTTCAACAGAATTGTTAGCTTAGTGGAGCACCAGATGTCTGACCATCTGAAAGGGCAGTGTGACCCATGGTAGCAGGCAAAAATGAGGCAGCAAGTTGTTGTGAAACTAACAATAGCTCAGCTCTGTGCATTCAAGCTTGGTTTATGTTGTAGTGTCCAGCTTTTGTCACATGCCTCTGCAGTATCCAGTAAAATGCCTCCTATAAATTAGGTAATCAGTTGGGTTGAATATACTGAAAAGAATTCTGCCTTCCCAAAATAACAAAAAGTACAGATTTTTAAAAATGGGACCTCCTTCTTTTTAATAACTTGTGTTTTTTTCTTGGCAGGTTCACATAAGTACCACCGGGTTAATTGTGACCCCACCCCCAAGCAGCCCAGTGACAACTGGCCCCTCATTCACTTTCCCGTCAGATGTCCCCTACCCAGCTGCCCTTGGAGTGAGTATAGCTTCAATCTTTATTTTTTCTTTTTAGTATTTAGTCATGTGGATCTGGCACACTCTACTTCCTGTCACCTGCAGTTTATGCTGATACTTGCTGGGTGGGATGGATCCCTATCTTTAATCTTAATAACCTTAATCTTAATAGCCTTAGCTAATCTTACCAAAAAAAAAAAAAAAAAAAAAAATAGAGAGTCTCTTGCTTGGAACCTGAACATTGTTTTAACAGTGAGGATCATTGGCCTGAAGCTATTGGAAGAACTCTGAAAAACACATTTAATTTTATTACAGTTCAACCTGGTTTTCTGAAGTCGTGGCCTTTATTTCCCTAGAGTTTCTAGATCTTACTTATTTCTTTTAAAGACCCATTTATAGAAATACTTGAGGAGATAGATCCCAGAGGCTAAAGGGTTAGCTTTGAGTCACACGATACATTGATACCAACTCTGCATTTAGAATTCATCCTTCAGTTTCTCATCTAGTGTAGCAATAGCTACCTAAACATATTGACTGTCCTAGAAGGCTCCCTTAGGTTGTGTTGATTTCCTTCTGAAAACCATCCTACAGGTAGAATAATCAGTAATTGCTTAAAAACATCTGAATGGGAGAAATTCATAGGGAGAATTAGAATAGCCGAGGGAGATGGATTCAGAGCAAAGGATCACTGGAGACGGAATTCAAAGGAACAAGCAAATGCAAAGACCTTAGGCAGTAGAGAGAATCAGTAGTCCCTGCTTCCTAAGGTTGTAGGCAGTTGAATTTCAAGAAACTGGCAACAGTGAGACACCTCTTGTCCGGGCACATACCTTGGCTTGTACATTCAGACTATTTGTTCCAGCATTGGGTTGAATAAAGACAAAAACATCAGATTGCCACACTTCTGGACCATGGCATCGCCCAGTCCCGCCCCACACCTGTGATTTGTGATGATGTGCTTAGAGAATCGATGTGGCCTGAAGATGGAGACATGGACCTGGGATGGAACAGACTTGGTTTGAAGTTCAGCTTAGCCCCTTATTTGTTACATGGGAAAGTTACTCGGCCTCTTTATGCCTCAGTGTCCCTACTTGTAAACTGAGATTGATAGTGTGTATGTCACAGAACGAGATCATAGAGAGGGCTGGCTATTACAGGTCTAGCCCTCCACTGAGGACTGTTGCAAGGTGGGTTTGTGACATGTGCCACTGGTTTACCCTGAGAATGCTTTGGAGGGCCTGCCTCACTTTGTTATGGTTTCCCCTGCTCTCTGTGGTGGTGAGGGTTCTCAGCAGCTGGTTTGCCTTTAGGGTGTGGATTTTATATATCTTGTAAAGATTATGTTTTTCTCTGCTAGACAGCTTAGAGTCAAATCTGTAGCCCTGTCCAGAAAGGCTTTCACAACCTGTCAGTTAAAATGTTGACTCCTTCTGGTTTTATCGCCCTCAGTTTACATTTGCTTAATTTTTCTTATCTAATATTTATTTTTCCCTGATATAGTTTATAAAGAGTTAAAAAAACTGATTTTGAAACAAGTACAAATAGAGTTATTACCTACCTTTTGAAAACTTTTTATAGAATTAAATATATTCTTATATTTAAATGGAGTTAATAATGTCCCATTAGAAGTTAAATTTTAATTTTTTTTAATGTTCCCTGGATGGTTATCAACTTCCTTGATAGTGTAATTGTTTGGTGAAGGAGGCTGTGCCTTGATTCATCTGGGGAGAAGATGAATTTCAGTTAACATTTATTAAATGTGGTTTCCATGAGAATCTATTAGCCCCGGATGTTTGACTGGAGCCAAATTTCATAAGCATCCTGCCCTCTAATCTCCTGGGGAGACTCTCCCCTTCCTTTCCCACCCCCAGTACACACATATAACTAGTTGGTATTTCCATTTTAAGATGACCACTTTTCCTGGAAAATTCTAACTTGATTTCTTAAGGTAAAGGGGGGAAAAAAAAAAAGACTTTTTCATCTTAGAAAAATTAATTAGTGGAAAAGACCTAAGGCTGGCTGAGTTTCAGCCCTTGTGAGCTGAAAATTTTACAGCATGGTAAATGGTCAGTTCCTTTTAGCTGGGGGCCTCGTCTAGAGCAAATCAATAGGACAGGTCACAAGAGAACACGAATATATAAAAATTAATTTATATTCAACCATGTTATCCTAGGATTATATAAGAAAGCCTTCATGCTAAGCAAGAGAAAGATTTATTAAACAGTATGTCTAGTGTGCCAATTCCATTTAATGAAAAACTAATTATAAACAGACTTGTCTGTCATCCCTGGAGATGTCTCGATCTCAGAGTCCCTGGTAGGCCGGCAGAAATGTTTCCGATTTAATATGTTACGTTTAAGTGGGAAAATCTCAGCAGCCTGTGCCCTCTGCGTCTTACATTAATTGTGGCAAGCATTCTATTTAAAATCTGAAATAATTTCTGAAGACTTTTGAGTACTATCGCAGCAATAGTATACAGCTCAGTAGAAAAGAAACCAGACTTCTCATGGTATGACTTATATGTAATGAATGTCACCACTAGAATAGGAAATGAAGATTATTTCCAGCGTTTTTTCATAAATTGAGACTTTTTAATATTTTATACAGAATGACGTTAGGAGCATATGTCCCATACATTTCACATGCAACGGTTAAAATGTTAAATGTCTAACATTATGAGCAACGCTGGTATTCCAACTGTTGTGCTGAGACATCAAACCATTAAGAGTAGTGAGGTTTTTTTGACTGATTTTGTGGGATGGGGAGGGTGGAGATCTTAGCCTTGCATCTTCTGTGCACTAGCAGAAGAACATTTGGAACAAGTAATAAACAATCCCTGATCCCCAGTGCCGGTTGAGAGCTAGAGGCACAGTGAGTGTTCTCGTTCATGAAGCACTCAGGGAGGATCTCTTACCTTCTGGCTGCAGAGCCAAGTGCCAGCAATACAGAGAAGTGTGAGACAGTCTCTGACTTTACAGTTTCATGAATCATGACAGTAGCTTCCATTTGTTGAGCTTCTGCTATACTCTGGGGTATGAATGGCAACTTATGTAAATCCTTTAAAATTCTTTTCTGATATATACAACACCAAGATATACCCTGACATCATCACAAAAGCATGGAACACAACCCACTCCAGTTCAGTCCCCAGCACCTGCCCCCGACTCTGCCAATCCCTGTGCAAGCCATATACAGTTTACTTTTTAAAAATAGTGTCAAATTAGTGTCCTGTAGATAGACCTGATGCCAGAACCCACTATTCCACATCTATGCATGCACATAGAAAAGTTCAGTTAGGTTTATTCCACTATTCTTCCTCTTTCCCTTCCCTTCTTCCTCCCCATCAGTCCCCTTCATCTGTTCTCCTGATCTTTCCTTCAGTTTTATGGAATTCCTCTCCCTTTTTCCCCCTTTCTCTCCCTACCCCATCATTTTGGATTAACTTCCCCATATCAGAAAACATTCAACCTTTGACTTTTGGGGGCTGGCTTATTTCACTTAGCTTCATACTCTCCAGTTCCATCCCTCTAATTATTACCTCTGTCTTGCAGATTGGTATATTAAGGCATAAAGGCCTTCCATAATTTACATAATTAACCGGCTGGAAATATCTCTTCTTTCTTATAGATTAAATGTGGAATAATAAATTACAGTTTATGCAGGCAGATGGTAGTGCTGCTGAAATTGGAAGCACTGTTGACTTGAAGGAAGCATCTTCATGTAGTAGCTTGAACCATTCCCTCATCGACCACTGAACATGTGTCTTGAGTTCAGTACCCAGAAAGACGGGTTAGAGATGTTGATATGTATGGTTGAAAGTGGGTTGATTGGAAATTAGATGTTTAAAGAGAAATGATGGGATTGAAGATGTTAAATGGTATTTGCCCAAGAGACCCATTTTTTTGTACCTTGGGAAGTTTATGAAGAAGATTCATACATAAAAAGACAGTTGGAAAGGAAATGATCCTTTTATGGTCAGTTGAGCTTGTGCCTGAAACTCCAGCACAGAGCACTTTACTGGTAAACTGGCTTACAGCCCTTGGCCCAGGCTTGATACCTACTGAACGGTTTCCCTTATCCTTAGCCAAATCCAGATCTAACCGCTTTCTGGGCTGGTTGCATGAAAGGGCAAGAGGATGCCAGAAATAAAGGGCTTCACACCCACGTACTTGAACTTTTCACTCCCAATGTCAACTAGCAAATGAGGCCTGTCAGTGTGTTGGAATACTGCCCTCAGAGAGAAGATGCCCCATTCTGTAGCTGCTCATTCTAGCAAAGGCGGGAAGTCAGAGACTGGCCTATGAGTCTGGACCAGGGTTGGAATCTGTCTTCTTTTCTGACAGCAAAACCCATGTTGCTTCTACAAAGCAAAGCTGTCTTTTTCAAAAGTCAGGGTTCAGGAGAACAGACCCTGGAAATGGAAGAAGATGGCTATTAATTTCACATTAGCAAGCCTCTGCAAACAAAATGTGACCTGACCTGTGTTCTTAGCAGGTCTGTAGGAGTTTGCTTGTTTGTTTTGTTTTTGTCTGGTAGGGGAGAGTGCTTGGGCTGGACCAGACTGTGAGTTAATAGGCAGGTCTCCAGGTCCACTCCTGGTGAATGAAAGGCTATGGTTTTCTGTGTAGAAATTTCCAGTCTTGCAGGCTATCAAACTGCCTGAAGCACAGTACATAGCAGATTACCTTTTGAACTTCCACATCACCAGAATATTTCAGTTTAGGTTGTTTATAAAGCAACCCACAGAACTTCCTTGTGTGTCCCAGCCCTGGACTTGGCCGAGCCCTATCATTTTACCAACCCACAGGGCCAAGCAGCATCTAGGAATCTGATTTTAATCAGTCTTTCTCTCTTGATCTTATGCACACTTACTCAGTATTGTGTGAGTGTGGGGTGGGGGAATCTGTCCAATTTTATTCAGAACATCTATGCTTGACTATGCTTCAACCACAAAAAGAGAGAACTGTATATTCTCTTAGGTACAATCTCCAGGATCTCTCAGAATATCCTCATTTATGCCAT